CCTTCTATCGATCTCTCCATCTCTCCATCTCGCTCACTCAGACCCCCTTTCTCTCCATCTCTCCACCTTGTTTACTCACACATCCAACCCACTTCTCTCCATCTCTCCATCTCTCCATCTCTCCAACTTGCTCACTCACACATCTCCCCCCCCCCTTCCCACTTCTATCCATCTCTCCATCTCTCCTTATCCCACTCTTACACATCTCTACCTCCTCTCAGATCGGCACCATCACATGCAGCAGACGGGCGTGTCCGGTCCTCAACTGCCCACGTGACTCGGTCTACCACAGGAAGGGGGAGCGATGTCCCAGGTGTAAAGGTAAGCTCATGTAACTTATTCTCTCACCCCACCCAACTACTCTCAATGTCCCACTTGCAACATTGCCGTTTTTTTCTATATGTGAGGCATCATCGGGAAATCAGATGCTCATCAAAATAATGAAATCGATGACACTGACATTTCCCCCACCAATTTGCTAATTTTTATCTATTAAAAAAACAACTCAAGACCTTTTACGTCCATTTAAAAATAAAGATTTTAAACTATGGAACTAGGTGAACCCCATCTCCTTTAGTTGCAAATGCAATGTATCTGGACTTCTATTTAAGATATATGGATATTTTTTTCATCAAAAGCAAGACAAAAATGAAAAAGCTTTGAGATGATACCAATAACTCCAAATGCCCAAAATTGGACAAGCGCCTGATTCCACCATGTCGCGACAAATGTCATTCACCTCTCACCTCACTCAACTATTGCTAATGTTTACATTGTTAAAGTGTACCTGTTTTTACGTTCCTGTTGACAATATTTCGATCATTTAGCGGGCGGTCTTCAGACCTTGCCTGCCAGGGCCAACCCGCCGGGTTGAAAGGTATACAACATCCCAGCTACTGAGCTACTCGATACAAGTTTTTTCCTCTCTCGAGAATCAAACTCGGGTCTTCTGCCTGCGACAGCGCCGTTACACCACATATTCTGGTCTCTTATGATATAGTTGCGTTACTCAACTGCAGTCAAACCTGCTTTAATAAACCTTTACTAGACAATCACCTGTACAAACCGCCTTTTCCCACTTGTCTCATTGCATGTGTTCTATATAATAACGATACTGTTCTAGAAGTCCACCAGTCTAATACAAGCACATTGATCCTCGACAACTGGTGGCAGTCTTTGGCAATTTTGGTACAGCTATTGTTATTATTATTATTATGATTTTTATGATTATGATTATGATTATGATTATTATTACTAATATTATCATCATCATTATCATTATCATTATTATCATTATTAACATTATTACTAGCATTATTATTTTTATCATCATCATTATCGTCGTCATCATTGTTATTATTATTGTTATAATAGTAATTATGATAATAATGATAATAGTAATAATAATGATAATAATAATTTTATGTATTATTATTATTATTCAACTACCAAGTACTCAAATGGTACTGCACATTGCCCAACTGCTCTTATGGCATTGTTGCATTATTCAACTACTCTTATGGTACGGTCACATTATTCAACTATTCTTATGGTAGTTACATAAATCAGTTACTTCTATCATGCAATCAATTAATTACTCAAATACCCTTTTTGCACGCTGGGTGATTAAATAAAAATAAAAATAAATCACACTTTTATTTGTCCCAGAAGGGCAATTTGGTTTACAATGGCAAACATACATACTTAAATACATAATTATAATTACGCACATACATACATACATGCATAAATACATTGGCATACATAAATGCACAACATTACACAAACACAGAACAGTTTACAACCATGCCGCTGTCGGTCGTCACTGTGCAGCGCCCTGTATTTTGAGCTAGGGTTGTCGTGTCTTGCTCAAGGACACACTCCAGTGACCACCCATCAGATCCCCTTGAATCTAAACTCACTACTCACTTCGCCACTGGAACCCCCCAAGATTGGTGGATGCTCTGGTGTGGTTTGCTCCCTCTTTTCTAACCATCAAACATAATATTATTATGCAGTCTTTACTATTCTGTCCTTCTTTGAAGGCTGCTATCAAGAAACAGGCCTACTCTTTGGCACAGTGTGACCCATTTGTTTTGCAAGTGCCGTAAAACGCTTTCTAAGGCGGTTGGTTGGAAGGTGTCCCTGGTAGGTCCTACTTCTTTTCTTTCCTTCTGTTGTGACTCTCTACCTCTCTTGTTTCTTCTTGTGGAGTCAGTAGCCTAGTAGTTAGGCTGCCAGACCCGTAGTCGTGAGATTGCGAGTTCGGGGATTCGAGCCTCAGCTTTGTCCAACGTTGAGTCCTTGGGAAAGGCACTTTACTCGACATTCCTATTTGACTCGGTCCTTTCGGAGATGGGCGTTAAACTAGGAGGTCCCGCCTCTTAAATAACCAACGAGTGTTAATAGAGGCAATATACCGATACCTTTTCACCATTTGACTTGCTTCTTCCCTGCACTATTGGTCCGTCATTGTGTTAATGGGTTTGTTTCTACCCAAACCCAAGACTCAAGACTCAAAACTCAAAACTTAAACCTCAGCTAAGACTAAAAAGTGTTTAACCATGATCTCCGCCCCCTCACACTCCC